AATTGTCATCATTTTCAACCCGTTACTCATTTTTTTCTTCACAATTAGTTGGAAATTTATAGCCATAAAAGCAATAAAAAAGGTTGGCAAATGAATGAAAAAATTCTAAGAAGAAAATTGCCCGCGGTATGGCAGGTCGTATATTAAATGCACATATATGACCATCGCAGTTGTCAATTTTGTCATTTCTACACCCATTATGTGCATAAGAAAGAAAACTTCTACAAAGTGGATAAAAAGTAAATATGCACCATTAAAGTCCGAACATACAACTAATTCCATCCTCATTACAATCCGCATTCGAAATAGAGGTTCTCGATAAAGCATGAACATTTTGAATTATGGCTGTTGTTGACATTTTAAGGCCATGCAAATTGTTTTCAATTGTTGAAGTTTTTATGTATCTTGTAGAAAATAATTAATTTAATGTTGACATCCAGCAAAAATACAGGACCTTCAAATTTTTTTTATGGAACCTCTATAATGAACCATTCAGCTATTTCTATCATCCTCTCAATCCACTTCAACAATTGCCTCATTCTTTTTAATATTCTTACGTCTTGTTGCTTTTTTTGTGATTACAACATAATTTTTTTTATCCTTCTCTTCTTGTTTTTAATAATTTTCTGATTATTTTACTAAGTTGTGTGTACAATTTCACGTTTCAAGAGTTTATTTTAGTTGGATAAGATCTGTGTATAAGTAATAAGTCTGATAATGATGATTAAATCGGACCAAATGTAGATTTTGAAATAGTTCAGGGAGGTCATTGGGAGTTTAAGATATCCCGTGCGCTCTTAAATTATTCTTATCAGGGAAGTTTATTCCAACTTGCCATCTGCCCATTCTCAAACTCATTTGGCGTTTTGTCTCTTTTCCTTTCCAATCTTTTCTTTGTTTCTCATTGCCTCCTTTTGTTATAAAAAATAAATATAAGATTTTTTAATATCTTTCGAATGTTAATTTCTTTTAACATTTTTCATTCTTTCCTGCCTTTTTTCTTTCGTTTTTTTTAAGTTCATTTCATTCTTTTATTAACCTGTTTCTGTGTGTGATTCTCTCTGTTGTTTCTGGAATGAAATAAGGGAATGCGAAGCAGAGAAATATTTCAATGAATAGTGAATGTGCGATTTTTGCATAATTTCTCTTAATTCTTATTTTCGAAAGATTGAAATGAAATAAAATCCGAAAGGACAATGAAACATTGCTGAGATGAAGTTTCGACAGATAACACGTGGATTTTAAGACTTTGGAATATTGATGGTTGTTATCAAATTTTTTGTTGATTTTTCCAGAATAATTTGTTATTTTTATCATCTCCTAACAACTCCTCACTTTCCAATAAAATCTTACTCCACACACCTTCCTGTTGCAAACAAATAAATCTTATAAAGTGATGAATATCATGACAATTTAACACAGTAAATACAACACAAAAAATAAAACAAAATCATTTCTTACACCAAAGCTATATAAAGTATATTTATAACGCCTACACGCTTCCCAAAAATTACCAAATCCAATGCCGTCAATTTAAATGGGAATAATGAATGATATTCGCAGAAGAATGAAAGAAAACAACGACAATAAAAGCAATATAAATCTGCATGAAACACAAAAAACTAATCAATGAATGAGATTTTGATGGCAAAAAAGAAAAAGAAGAAAATTAAATAAAAGGAGCCATAAAAAGAAGATCAAAAAATAGAAAAAAATATTTTTAATCAATTTTAGTTTGCTTATATTAGAGAGACAACAAAAAAATTAAAATAAGATTAATACGACAAAGAAAACAAAAAAAAACGATTGGGAATTAAAGTAGTGAATTATTAATGTTTGCTGATCTTATGGCTTCTCTTAAAATGATATAATCTTGCAAAATTAATTGAAGTTCATTTAAATTTTTATCAATTGGAAATCCATGCAAGGGATGAAAATTCTCTCTATTTAACAGGTTTTTGTGCAATAATTTTATAGCCGAATATTTATTCACATCGTCTAGTCTCAGAACTGAACTCCTTCAACCTCAAATATCCCACTCGAAATATTTAGCATCTCAAAGTTTTCTTCCATATTTCAGAATTTCTTATCATTAGCAAATAAAAAAATTCTCAAAAAATTATTGCATTAAAATTTCACATAAAATTCATGACTCTCATGTCCGAGAAACAAATGAGACAACATTAACTTCAAAGATTCTTATTACCAACGAGGGAAGGGAAAAAAATTCTTAATTACAAAAACCAGCACAAAAGAAATAAAATGAAAAAATTTCAATATCAAGTCAAGTTGAGTCAATTCTTTTTGTTATTGTTGCTTGCTGATATCACATAGCATTACAACAAACAAAGAGAAGGCAAAGAAGAGAGGAAAGAAGATCAATTTCTGAAATAAGAATCACAACAAGATGTGAACGAGAATGAAAAAAATGAGGCAAAAGAATTGAAAATGAGTTGTAAATTTTTACGAAAAGTGAGAACCGGAAAGCATTTTATTAATTTGAAATTTTATTTTTTTAATAACTGAACTTGGAGAAACTGTATAATGTGTGGGCTTAGAACTTCTCATTAGATACTATAAACAGTAATGTCAACTGAGGATTGGTTCAGATATGAGCTTTAGGTCCTATTAAGCGATGATCGTATTATAATTTTGATTAAAACAGGGGAAGCTCCTTGTTTGACAAACTGATAATGAATTTAGAAATCACTGCCAATTTACGCTAAAAAAGACACGGCAAATAACACAATACACATTAACATAAACTCTTGAGAGCTGGACGTATGAAAATACAAACAAAAGAGATTAAGAGGAGAAAAAGTAATCGCTGAAGGCGACTCGCGGTCGTAAAAGCCATCGACCAGCAAAACGCAATAGCGATTGAGATCAGCGTGCAAGGTGTATGCCTTTAAGATATTTTAGATTCTTTTCTCTCTTTTCTTCTTATTATTTGATTTTGTTTCATTTATTTTCATTTCTACTTCTTCATCTTGGCTGAGAAATTGAGGCGCACATGATTTTTGTTTTGCACTTTTCGTGCATGTGAAATTTTTCAGTGTTTGCTTTCTTATGCAATTGGTGCTTCTGTATGTTCAGTTCATGTTTTATTGGCTGCATGATTTTAAATTTTCTACTTTGAAGTTTAAATTAAAAGTGATGCTTTATTGTTTATATTATAGAGTATACATAATCTGATCCTTTTTATACTGAACAATTTAATAAGATTTCATAAATAAACCATTGGCAACCTGTTGATTAAACTAGCTTAGTGTTTGCTGATCATTATTTTCTCATACCCAAAAACCTCAAAAACATTCACGGTTAACAAAATAAGAGCCCTACATTTTAAATCCGTCATAAAGTCAAAATAAAAAAAAATGTTTAAAAATTACTCATAATTCGTTGAAAAAAATAGTTATTATCGAGAAATTCTTGCCACTTGTTCCTGCCAAAATAACCAAATCAAATTTAAAAAATTTATAGAAGCAAACACTTAATATCAGTTAATATTAGGTAAAAATGAGAAAAGTTTTCGTCAGGTTCATTAACAATTTTTACGAATTTTCTCTCCTTTTCTTCGCTCTTGTGTCTCTCTGATATCTTTACGATCATCTATATGACATTTATATACCTCAACATTGATAATCATGAAACAGAAGTCATGCGCTTCTTAATGATTTCAAAATAGTTGATGAAATTTTCCTTCGTGTGGCTGAATTTTACATTTTCATTCAAAAAAACTTTCAGTTTAAAGTTTTAGATAAACATTTATGTTATCAATGAATTTTCAAAATTTTTAATTATTTTGTCATCGTTAAAAGCGTAAAACTTAAAATTTATGGGAAATGCTTATGCAAAATCAGCATATTTATTTTATTGTTTTCTTAATTGCTTATTAAATTTATTTTAGAGATAAATTCAAACTTTAAAGCTGTTTTAAATTGAATTTTGACAAGAAATTAACAACTTTTAAAATAAATTTGATTTTTTAACTGTAAAGGTTCGTGTGAAAAAAATCGGAATCCTCATGTTACGAATTATATTAAGAACTGATTAAGGTCAAACTTGTGCTTTTTGGACAAACTCAAAGCAAAGTAAAGCAATGTTTTGTCAAACCTCAAACTGGCGACAGTAAAAGCAAAAAATAAATTGAAAGAAGAGAAGTTGAAAAAGTAGAGAAGGAACCGATTTTAATAATTAAAAGCATTAATAATTTTAAAATGAGATGAAGGCAGCATCCATGTGGATAAAATTATACTAAAAATAAAAAAAATAAAATGTGATATTACGAAGAAAGAATTCAGCAAAACAGAGGAAAAAAGAGACAAAAGAAGAAATAACAAAGAAATAAATTCTTTTATTTTCCATGCCAAGAATCTTCTTCTTGATCATCATCACTGCTCTCACTCTCCTGTTTTTTTCGAATATTATTGCTTTTGTTATTATTTATTTCATTTTTTACATTTTTATTCTTTCAAGAAAATGAATTAACATATTATTTACATTTTTAATTAGTCGCTGAACTCGTTTTCATCTCTTTTTCTTCTCACTCTCCATCTCACTCACTTCTTCTACTTTACAAATTCCAACAACAATTCTCATTTCTTTTATTTTATTTTATTTCATTATACTGATTTTATTTTTGATCTTTTGTTCTTCTTCATTCGCGTTGACTTTTTTGCTGCTTTACATTTTTTTCACATTTGTGAGTGGATAAATCTCTTAAACTTATGGACGATAAAAAATATTGTTTTTATTGTGTTTATTGTCATTTTTCTCCGGTTGTGTCCACTTGTTGCGGACACTCTCTTTGAATTTTTGGATTCTCACCAGAAATGACAACTCAATGAATTAAATCTGGTAACAAAGTTATTCAAAAATCAATCAATCATACAAAGACTAAAAGATCCCCATTCTGTCTTAAGAGGTCAAATATTTAACAAATACAATTGTTTTCTGAGTATTTTCATATTTTCTATCTTTGTTTTTTTTTTCTTCAGATTTTTGGATGCAATTCTGATTGAAAAACTAGCTAATATCAATGCAACTTAATACATTTTTCAACTAAATTTTTCAACTTAAATCATACTCATCGTTACAGGCATTTAAAGTGAGTACAGTAAAATTTTGAAATTTATTTAAATGTTTCCAATCCTTGCATCTATATTTTTCATTCTCATATCGACATATAAACAATTTTTTCCTCTTTTGTTCTTCTTTTTGTGATTTTTAATTTCTTATTTTTGAATAATTTAATCAATTCTTTTTGTTATTTTCCTGTCGCTGTGTGATATTTAATTCATTTAAGATACAGCAAGATCTGATTATCGCCAAATGTTTTATTGTCTTCATCTCATTTATGGACATTTTGTATTGATAGTGGTCGAAATATGTAGAAGCCAAACAGATTTGTGGGTTTACTTATGAATCTAATACCATATTTTCACATGTTGTGCATTTTTAAAACGTTTAGCAATGAATCTTACGAACCTCATCGAAAAATGTTCAAAAACGTTGAAAGTATAAAATGAAAAATTTCGTATGAAGATTTATCTTAATTTTCTCACCACTTGATAAGCCTTTAATGACACTCGATTAAATTTACTTACTATTTTAGCCTAGGGCAGTTGAAAATAGACAAGATAAAAAACTGAAAGTAACAATAATAAATCCAAAATAAATGTCTCTCTATCTTTCATTTCACGTTCACTAACACTATCCAATCAATTTACATTTACATATCAGCATGCATACAAATATCGGGCTAGTAGATAAGCCGCAATCAACATTCTAAATTGATTCCCATAGAATGAAAAGGAAAAATATAAAACTTAGTAAAAGAAACCTCTGCCAATCTATTATTTTTTCCATTTCTTATTGTATTTCATTTCTTTTTTTAATAAAAAAAACAGAGCAGAAAAGGAAGAAAAAACTCGTAAAACTTGCTTTTGCGTGTTGAATTGCGTGTGCACTGTTTTTATTGTACATACATTTTGTGTGTTCATTTGCTTTGCTTTGACCAAAAGATCAAGAAACTCTTAGAGATTTCTCTAAGAGAAGCAAAAAAAATCTCGAGAAAGATTATTAAACAATCTCCTTTCATTGTTGTAATGACTTAAATGCTACTTTGTATTAACAATAGATTGAGATGTTACGCTTTGATATGACAGCGACAGCAAAAGAGCAGCGAATCTGGAGGAATAAGAGTTGAAAATAAGAAAGAGAGAAAATTTGAAGTGGACATTAATCACATGGAAAAGGTTCAACACACAACCATTATTATTATTATTATTATTTGTGAGTGACTTAAGTCACTTGCTATAACAAATATTATTAATACCTTCTCTCATACTATTAGTGGGCATAATGCTATGAACACTGACCTAGGGTTGGTATTCAGTTACGCGATATTGAATCCAGAATCTTAATCAAAATAGGACCAAGGTTTAAAATTTCACGAGCGAAATTTAAATTTTTCAAAATTGAAAAAAAAAATATTTCTCAATAATAAATTTTCAATATATAGACTCTAAAACAAATCTATCTTTTCTCATCTCATCATTGTGGGTACACAACAATGCGAACGAGAATGAAGACAATTTGTTGTGTGTGCAAGTTAAAATATTTGAAGAATTGATTGATTGATTGAGTTCTCATTTGATTGAAATGAAGGAAGGAGGAATAAAGTAAAATGTGATGAAAATTCGATAATTTTAAAAGGGGATTCCTCTTCTTTTTCTTTTTTTGCGGACAGGTGTCTTGATTAATGGAGGATAAACATTTTGCGGAAATTGATCGCGAGAATTTAAAAACTGAGATTACAAAGATTACATTTTAGATATCTTTAAGATTTTCCGACACTGTTTTACGATTTTACTTAAAATTTAATGAGTTGAATTGGTTTTATTTCCCACAGAGCTGCTGATAATTTTTTCAATATAATATAGCGAAAGAACTTCTGAAAATTTCAAAAATAATAATTATATGTTAATGTGAATATATTAAATGTTTATTCATTCATACAAATGTTTAACAATCGTATAGACTAGCAACTTCTTATTAAATTGTAATGCGAATAATTTCATCATCAGATTTACAGCAATCATTATCCAACTCTTCACGCTTTTCTACAATGCTTGCTTAGTTTATTTGATGATCAGATTTGCAATAATATTTGAGGACTATTTTTTTACTAAACTATTGCAAATTTCACATAAGTTCGTTGACCTTTCGTTTGTTAATGATCTAATTAACCATTATTAATATTTTGATGCAAAAATTTTCATGCCACTTTTTAACGTCAATTATTAAGACAACTCATGATCTACTAAACAGCATGTACCGGACAACACAATAATAATTATAATAACCATAATTATCATTATGTAATATCAATAATTCAGCACCAATCCGTCGATAAATTTTAAGTCACTTGATATTATGAGAAAAGAGTAAGAAACGATTACTGTTTCCACTAAAAATGGACAAAAAATAATAAAAAAATTTGTCATCTCATAAATATTTTGCCCGCTTAAAGAGCTTAAAATGCGAATGTGAGCACATATTTTTTTGTACGCACTGTGGAGATAAATAAAAGTTTGGGGATAAGAAGAAGCTTTAGATTCCAATATAAAGTGAAAGATTACAGAGATGGAAGCAAAGCTAAAAACTTAATTTAAAGAGAACAAAAAATATTCAAATGTTTACCAACTCTGAAAGAAATTTATGGATACAAACTGAAAAAGTAACAGGAGATGGAAAAAACAGAGCAGCATCAAGCAGCAGAAGCAGATAATAATAATAAAGAACATTTATGGATGATTTCATATTAAGAATTTAATTTCACATATTTTATTGTTGTTTTTGCTTGTTTGCTTGTTTATCTCTCTCGTTTTTATAATTTTTTCAACATCTCATGCTCCACATCTATACCGCTTGTCCATAAGAAAAGAATTTCTTTCTTCTTCCCAACTATATTCCGTGATCATCACAAAGATATTTTCATTTTAATTATTCTCTTTCTCCCTCTCACTCTCTCTCACACACACACTCTATCAATCGCTCACATTGTGTTATTTCTTCTTGATTATTTTGCTTTCTTGCTGCGCTAGAACGACAATAATTTCTCTATGAGACTCTCAATTTACATTTATATATGTGATGTTGATGAAGGAAATCTTTTGAAAGAATAGCTTGGAATTTCTGCTTTAATTTACCATGAAATGTGAAAAAAAATTTAACTTAATAAACTCCTGATTGTATCTGTAAAGTGTGACAAAGTGCCTTGGTGGCGCAGTGGTTTTATTCTCGAGGACTTAACTATGTAAGTTGTCTGCATTGAAAACTCAAAGACAGTTTCTTAGTATTCAACTATTCTAAATAAATTTCTACATAATCAAGCGTCCTAAACCAATTTGAACTATTACTTAATTAACATTTATCTGTGTAGTATTTTTGGCCTTTTTTAAGCTCTAAAATATAGTCATTTCAAACAAAACATCACGAAGAAAATTTTTAAAGATCACACAGAAAATTGCAATTCAGGAATCTTTTTAAAATTTTTCATTTCATCGTTAAGTTCATTGTTTTATTAGTTGTGCTCTTTGTCTTTGCCCTTCTGTTTCCATTCTTTCAACTTCTGCTGATGATTTCGCACATATGTGTGTATATAGAGAAATTAAAAGAATCTTAAGAATCGAAGTTGAATGAGTGAGATAATTTCATAATCAATGTGAGTCCGGTTTTATTTTCATTTTTGTGTTGTGCAAGACAGCGAGAGAGGAGGAAAAAATTGATAATTAAAAAGAATAAAAATAAAGAAATTTTCATTAATTATTTTTATTGTGTATAAAAAAACTGGAAATTAAAATGCGAAGATGAAGTTATTAGTGCAACAGCAGCAAGCAGTAGAAACAACAGCGATGGTGCGCTTTTATATGTGCAGTTATGCAGAAATGTTTTTATTAAATTGAATTTATACATATAGAGAGGAGAAGGAATTGAACGGAAAAAGAGATAAAAAATATGTTGAGGTGATTGAATCATTGAATGCCATGGAGTTGTTTCTTATTGCCTCTTCTTACTTGCTTCTTTATCTTTTTGTTTTCTTTTAATGTTGGGTTTTAATAACGAATAAAAGAAGATTTAATAAAATTTACATAAAATTATAATTAATTTGTACTCTTCATATCGAAAACGAGATCTCTTTCTTACTGTAAAATCCTTTTTAAGAAGGTTTATTATTATTGCATTAGCAGCAAAAGGGACAGATAATATTGTGGAAAAAAAACTCGGTTAATGGAAATTTTCATCAACAATTCTAAGAATGCTTAAAAGTTTGAGTTCTAATTTGAAATCAATTCTATCAAAAAACAATGCAACATACCCAGGCGAAAAGGGTATGGTTTAAATATTTTATGGTTTTATTGATAGCAATTCATTTTAACAGCGTTTTTTTGTTATTTTATACTTCATTTAAGCACAGTCCTCTAATTCGTCCAGAAAACAGATAAAATTGGTCCTCTAATTTACTATCAGGTCCTCTATTTTCCAGTATTTTTTCAAAAAATATCTGATCACCCTGACAATAAAATTTAAGTTTCTTCTATTTCAATGCGAATTTATTTGTGAATTTTATGAAATTCTCACAATGTTGTAAAGGCGTATCAAGCAAACTTGTAATCTGATCAAAAAAAAACTTTTTTACCAATTTAATATCTAAAACATTTTAAGTAGGACTCTTTCAAAACACCCTAGAAAGACCCTTGTTGATCTGCATTTAATAAAATTTCTTGTCAATTTTCAACATACACTCTTGTTCAGCTATTAGTATTAATTAAGCAATTAATTTATAACGATATTAAGAATCATAAGTATGACTACAAATCAATAGATTTCGCTTATATCGCGATATTAATAAAAACTACACATTAGTTTTTTCTTTAACTTCTGTTTGCATTCATCAAGAATTATTGCTGTAATTTTTTCCATTTAATAGTTATCTAAAAATTTAAAACGCGCAGTTTAAATCTGTTATCTGCCTATTCGAGGTTCTGGTCTTTTATTGAATTTGATTTGTTTAAAGTGTAGGAATTAATCTATTTTGTCAAT